GAGACCTTCCCAGGACTGGCCAACAGGACAGCAACATTGCAGAAGAAAGCATAGTTTGAATAGGAAAACGTCAAGATTTAGAGGGTGGTTAACACCTGTGGAGTGGAGAGAGATTAATAGAAATCGGAGAGAGAAGAATTAACATAGGAACTGCCAAAATGTCCTAAGAGAAACTGGATTAGGACCACCAATACAGAAGCCATTAAGCAGTCATATGATTTTCACTCATGACTACTGTTAATACTGTACTGAGCTCTTGCATGTTCTTGCATGACTTTATTAAAAGTCAGTGCAGCTCACCACAGAAGCATATGGCCACACTCGGGTTAACTGCAGGGTGATGGTTGAGCACTCTAGCTGAAGACTAGAACTGATTATTAGTATCTATCTGTTTCCAAACTTTTCAGCCCTCCAGTCCCTTCCAATTTCTCTATTTCCTTTTTGCCGATCACTGGAAGAGGGGAAGTAAGCTGTTGTGACTCAGCTGTTTGAGCGGGTGGGTCTATCTAGTGTTTGACAGAGATAATGCCCCCTACTACATCCTCCCTTTTTCTGGGACTTTCACTAGCTTTTTTTTCTTAAACACATGCAAAAAGAAAAGTAAACATAGTTTCTAGGGTGCTGTGCAAAGAAACAACTGTAAAGACAGAAGCCATGACAGAAAATGACAGGTGCACAAAAGTAAGTAAAATAATTTACTGGAAATTTTGTTGTTGCTAGAAATATGTTTTTTGCATATGTAAGTGCATGAAAAAGACAAAACTGCCAGAGGTTCCTGAGCCCTCCTGTGACCAAATTAAGATCCTTCCAGAGCTATTGCTGCTACCTCCCGCTGGATCTATGAGCAGATTCCAAGAGTGCCTTCAGGCCCTGCTCAGCCAAAAAATGGCTCATGAAGGATCAGGCCTCTGACAATTCAGGGCATGAGGGATGAATGTTATAATCACATGGAAACCAGAGTGCACACAAATTAATTTGCTATATGATACCATGCAAATGAACAACTGTTCTCAGGGTGTAGGGACTTTCCAGCACTGATTAATCTTTTCAGCCCCATTCAGAGTATTAAGCATTGTTTAGTTGTGCTGCTTATAACATAAAAAAGCAAGAAGGTTGTTGGAATCAAAACATACTTATGCAGTGATGAAGGTCAGTGCTGGTTTGTGCCCTACATTAAACTCTCTGCTACTTTGCCACTACTATTGCTACTCAGCAGTTTAATAAATCTCACATTAGGTAGGTACTCTTCCTCTGCTAGACAGTCTGAATTATACTCTTGAGGTCTCAGCCTCCTACAGTGAACAACTGCATATTATTACATCTGTACATTTTTAATGTAGAAGTTTTATTTTTGTTGGTTTAAAATAAAATTAGACAAACAAACAAAAAACGCACAGTCCAATTATATCTGTTTAACAGGAAAGGGAAACAGTAATCCAAATACCAAAAAGTACACCTGGAATCGTCTCCCAAGGGGATTGAAAGCCAAAGTAGCCTCTAGGAAAAGCCTTGGAACACTCCCACATGAGGCCCAGGGAGATAGACCCCATTTCTCTCTCATATTCGCATTTATTTATATATTTGATATATGTCACCCTTCCCAACAGAGGCTCAGGGCAGCTTACTGTAACAGAAAAAAAACTTATAAAACACGAGAACAAAAGAAGAACAAGCCAATTTATAAAAGCAGGTGGAATATTAAACTAAAATGTAAAACACCTCCCCACCCCCAATATCCCATTTTAGCCTTGCTTCCTAAATCCATGCCCAAATGGGAAGGTCTTAAAGTGCTTTTGGACAGTGTGCAGGCTCAGGCATTACTTGGGTATTCTTAGAGAGGCAGTTACCATATAAGTCTGAAGTCAGGCAGTACTGTAACTGAGAAGGGGGGATCAGGGTAGCGCACTGCCTTAGTTGGCGGGGAGGCAGTGAGGAATAACCGCTGCCAAATAATTGGTGGCCGCTGGCTGCACTACTGCTGGCAGTGCAGCAGTCAGCTCAGAGCTGCTCTGTTATACCTTTGTGTTACATGTTAATACACAATAACAGTTCTGGGCCCTACATATCTAAGGAACAGCCCTCTCCCTTATGCACCATCACAACCCCTGAGGTCAGCCAAGAGCAACCTCCTGTAAGTCACATCAATGCCCCATGCTCATTTCATCGAAACATGTGGGACGCCATTTTCTTTAGTCATTCCTCAGCTCTGGAACTCCTCCTGAAAAGGAACAGATGTTTTAGGACTTCCAGATTTAGTCCTTTTTCAGGTCTAATCTTGCAACGGATCTAATACTGGTCAGATTTTCCAATTAGCTCTATAAAATAACCCAAAACACAATGTGAAATACTTACTCCTGAATGGAAATTGCTTTATTAGAACAAAAGACTATGCAAACTGCCACGCTGTTGGAATGTTTAATGGGCTTTGACCTGTGGTACTCAAAGGAGTTTGTCACATACATTTATTGACCAACCCACTTTGTTCTTTTAATTTCTTTCTTCTTGGGCTGAGCTAGTGGTGCCCAACTTTTTTCCACTGTGGGCCAGATGAGGGGTGTGGGAATGTTTCATGGGCCAGATTGGGCTGCCATGCCAGGACTGGGTCCCATGCTCCTCCCTCCTCACTTGCACACATGGATCCAAGCCCTACACCACCCCTGTACTCTGGAATTGGGACCTGGAGCCCTATGCCACCTCCTCCTGGCCCCACTCCCTGGGATCAGGACCCGCACCACCCCATGCACCCAATCTAGCATGCAGGGTCATACTATCCATCCTGCAAGTCCGGAAATGTGGCAGCAGGGGAGCAGTGCCACCACTCCCTCACCACCAAAAGTTCAGACCTCTGGGGAACCTTGCAGGCCATATGACTCAGAGTGGGAGGCCTGATTTGGCCTGCAGACTGGGGGTTGCAAACTCCTGGGCTAAATCTTGCAATACCTCACTTGGGCACAGCTTTTGGTCTTTTGGCAGAATAAGGCCAGGAGGAGTTACCCTTTTGCCTCTAAAATCAGCCTTAATTCTTCACACAAATAGGAAAATAATGCACATAATGAAGTGAACTGTCAATAACACCCCACATATTTATAACACCACCTCATGGGGAGATTCAAACTCCTGTAAACACAATGAATCGATACAATTACATAGTGCTTGTTTCTAGCATTTTACATTTTCAAAACAGTTTATAAGCACTAATTCACAGAACATTCATCCTGTTCATTTCTGATGGAAATCCTTGTTCTATACCTCTGCATTAACCATTGCCTCTGTTAATCATCACAAGCCCCTGCAACAGATCAGGGAGCTGCTCGGTATAATAAAGATTAAACTGATTGAATTAGGAAGCCTGTGTGTGTAAATGGTAAATGTTTAAATGGATAAATAGATTATTGGACAGAAGGCATGTGAGAGAACTCAGGGTGATAATAAATGCAGCTTGTTACATGGCTCTGCAACTTATCTTAGACATCACCACCACATGCATCCTGTAAATATAGATGGACTGACAATATTGTTGGGATTTTTTCACTAGGTGGAGCAATATGTTGGGGAAATTAAAGGAGGGCTGAAACCAGCCATGAAAATTACTATCATCGGGGCCGTAAGTTCCAGGCCCAAGAGGTAGGTGAGGGAGCTGCTGTTTAGTTGGTTGTGTCATGTACAGAAGTAGCTGCCTTCTATAGCTGGTCATAAGTACAAGAGATTCCTGGAGAGTCTACCCTTTTGGGGTGGGATGCGGGGGGAGGAAAGCTGTACTGATTTAATTTATGGGCTAATCTAATCTCTCCTTTTGTACAGCAAGACTGAAGCTAGGACGAGAATTCACAGCCTGATTTCCCTGAAATGTGGGAAAGTGATATATCAAATACCTTCTGCTTATCTGTGCGGTATACACCATCTGGTGTGCATATCTAGCCTTTTTCTTTCTTGGACAGTATCAGGTTCAATTCTTCTTTTCCTTTTTCAAAGAAAACAAAGGAGAAAAATAAGCTGTGATCACACATTAAAGTCTTTTAAAATACATTGGCTATAACTACATTGTTATTGTCAATACATTGGCTATAACTACAGTGTAACTGGCTATAACTACAGTGTCATCATGTCCTATGTAACCAGCCTTGCTGAATGTGACCACACTGGCACGAGGTCTGCATAAGATTGGCTAAGCACTTCCAAAGCCAAAACTTGAAATGGATTCTTTATGGCTAGTTGGCTCTTCTTCACTTATTCCAAAATCCAAACACAGAGATTGTTTTTTAATGTTACAACCATCAGGTCATTAACCCACGGCCCTAGTCCACACTGAATGATAATGGTGGATTACAGTATTTCCTTATAGACATCTGTCATGCCAACTGTTTCCTGAAATCCTGTTCCTGACCATTTACTTGGTTCCTTCAGCTTTGCAGTGACTCTGCTCTCCGACCCTGTGGATATAAGCAAGGATGTCGGGCTGTTGTTTGCAGTCAATTTTAGTGATAAGTCTATCACTCGGAATGCACGGACTGCTGGGAAATGGGGAAGAGAGGAGAAGAATATTCCCTACTTCCCATTCACAGCAGGGGACACATTTAAGGTAATCTTTTTAGGTGTGGTGAGGAGAAACTAGATAGAGGGATTAACTGAGTATATCACAGCACATTTTATCATTATCAAAGGTTACCAGATTGATGGTTCTAGTTATACCAGTTTTCCTTTATCTGCCATTTGAGTGTACAGGAAGGGGAACAGCAGCAATGCAAGCTTCTCCCAACACCTGTTGACTAAAAACAAATACCTTTGTGTGCAACTCAATTCTCCAGTTTGCTGAGAACTTGTAAAACAAAAGACCACATGAAGGCTTTTCAGCAGAAGTAAAATGCGTTCTTTGCAGGAGGGAAACTCAGGTTCTAGACCAGGGGTGGGCAATTATTTTGGGCAGAGGGCTGCTTACTGATTTTTGGCAAGCCATTGAGGGCCGCATGATAGGCAGCCCAGGGCAGATAGATATTCATTTTTTAGGGGACCCGTGGGCCAGACAGAATGTCCTGGCAGGCCACATCTGGCCCCCGGGCCGCATTTTGCCCACCCGTTCTAGACAGACTTTGCACAGCACTTCCTTACAACACTTACATTTGTGACTCTGTATTCTAGGCTGCTAAATCTGTGACGCTGACTTCTAACGTCCACTTTGCCATTGTTTCTTTGCAGATGGAACTCTTGTGTGAGCACCAGCAGATGCGGGTCTTGATTGATGGGCGGCAATTCTGTGATTTCACTCACCGCATTCAGACCCTGAGCATGATGACATCTTTACATATCTCAGGGGATGTCATACTTACCAAGGTGGCTTGAAAGACAGACCCCAATCTTATCAGTAGATTAAGACAGACGCACTTCTGGTTGGATACGAAAGTGATCTCCCTTCTCGTCTGAGTATTTCTTGAGATCTAAAAAGTGGACTTTGATTTGGTTTTGTTTAGTTTTGTTCACAAATTAAGAACTTCTGCTTTTTCTCATAGAAACTGTAGAGCTGCAGTGGCAGGGCTGGTTCAAACAAATTTGAGGCCCCAATGCAAAGCCATTCACTTGACCTCTCAAACTGAAAGGCTTATGATTCAGTACGCAGCCTTCCCTACCCTCATCAGCTCTAAACTGTTATCAACTGGAGTGGTTCAGTACCCTGAGGGTAGAGGTGGGCATTAACCATGTATCTAGAACTGGAGAGTGTGATTGTGGTTGGGCTTAAGGTATAGAGGATGGTGATTTTATGCAACATAAGTGAGGGAATCTGAAATACATGAACTAGATTCATGTTAGAGAGAGAGCAAGCCTAATACTCAAGGGAGCTCAAGCCATCACCACACTTCACTGTCAGTGCTAAACCCCTAGTGCTTCACACCATGAAGTAGTAAGTGCTCCACAAGCATTTCTTTTTCTTCTGGGGCTGCTCCTGTGAATCCAAATCCTCTGTAACTGCAAATTTAGAAGCCTTGGCTGAACTGGCCCTCTGCAGTGTTGGCTGTAGCTAAACCTATTACCTGTTTTGTTCTGTTCTGTATGTTCTCTGTTCTTATATGCAGCTGAAAATGCCTACTTACTTGCAAATCCCTTTAGCTATTTTGTATTTTGTATTAATATTTGTACCACTTTAATGTTGTGATGACTATTTGCATCTGTATGTTTTGCAAAGCTTCTAAAAATGTAGCTATAATGATTATGTATATATGCATTATAATCACAATGGATTTTGTGCTTTGTGAACTATGAAAGAACTATAATCCCTCCCAGAGACTTTCAATTGGCATGCCTCTGACTTCTTTTTCTTGTGAATCTCCCTTTTGCTGACAATGGGATAGATGCTGATCTCAGTTATCATGGTGCAAATCTGGAGTAACTCCACTAGCCTGATCACATATGCAGGCATACTTCAGCATATCAAGTTGCTGCTGACAATGGCTTATGCCCTGGGTTCTCCCCCTGATGCTGCTTCCCCCATCATCTTTTCCCAGTTCCTCTAGGCATGCTGATTAACATTAAAAACCAAAAACATCTAGCTCTCCCTATCCCCTGCTGTGCATTGCTGTCTTAAATTGGATCTATATAAAGTTAATTTGTCCAATAAGAAGCGCTTATAATATAGGAAGGAGGTGAAATCCTCCGTATGAAGGGAGGATATTTTCCTCAGTACATATGTTAAGTGGGTAGACAAAGAGTGCTATTCAGGGAAGCATGATCTGTTGCATAAAGTACTGGAATGGGATTTAAGAATCATAGGATCTGTTTCTCGTATTGCCATCAACTTCCTGTCTGATGTTGGAGGAGAGATATAAAACAGAAGGTCATAGATCTTTTTGGATGCTCTGTAGAAGATATGTCTACTGGTGCTCAGAAACTAAGAGGGATATTCTAAGTGAGTATATGGATTATCTGGGTATTTTTTAAATCATTCACATAAATCATGCATTCTCACTCTGTAAGCAATGGCATATTATCAGTATGAAAAAGGGGTACTAGCATGCTCTGAGGGAGTAGTCCAAAAGATCCCTCTTATTTTCATTTGAAAATTTTCCCAATACATCAATATGCCAGTCTCCCTTCTTTTCTTCACGTGAAGGGTCCTGTGAATTGTGCATAGGAGATTATTCCATAACAACAATGTTGAGAAACTATGGGTGAGGTTTCAGTTTGAACATGTAGCTTAAGTGAAGTACTGTTATTTTCCCCACACAACCCAATCTGACCTTTGGAAAGATCATATAAAAGGAAAAGGCTGTCTCAAGAAAACTAAGCTTTTCCTAGATTTAATGAAACAAGAGTCAAGTTTAATAGAAAAATAAAGTTTAATGGTTCTAAGTGGAAACAACATTAACTAGTACAATATTATTAGAGTTATCAATCTTAATGGTGCTGCACAGAAACTGATTTAGAGTAAAAACCAGGAGGAAAAGCCCTGCCTTATCACAAATTTGTTCTGAAGTTCTCCCCTCTTTCTTCTGAAATACAAAAAACTGGCTACTGTTAAGGATATTGATAGCAAAGGAAATGGACTATTGTTCCAACTGGGTATGACAATCAATATGGTCATGTGACACTATGGGATTTTCTATCATATCTGGAGTCTGTATATTGGATTAGAGCAGGGGTGGGCAATTATTTGGGCTGGAGGGCCACTTAAGGAGCTTGGTAAGCTGTTGTGACCTGGCGGGGTGCTGACCAGCCCGTCGCAGTGTGGAGGGGGCTGTGTACCACATACCCACTGCCAGGGGCGATGGACAGAGTGAGTGGACAGAGTCTCCATGAAGACCAGCTTGGGACTCCCATGGGCACGGTACACTCAGCTGGGCAGATGGGATGGGGTACTAGGGGGATGGGGACCAGCATCCAGGAGCAGGACGGCAAGCGAAGTCAGGATCACAGAGGGGTGACAGCAAGGGGCTGGGGCCTGGGGCAGAGCCACAATCAGGGAGTGGGTCACAGCTCTGCCTCGGGCCCCAGCCCTGTGCTGCCACCACTTCATGATTCTGGCCCTGCCTGCCCATCCTGGATGCCACTGCCCACACACTTGCTGCCCCATCCCATCCCATCCGCCTGGTCAAGCATGCCCTGTTTGTGGGGATCCCGGGCAGGTCTCCATGGAGACCCTTCCTGTCTGCCTGCCTGTTCTGTCCAGTGATGCCATCAGTAGGTATGGGGGGGATGGGCCTGAGGTGCCCAGGCAGTGGGGCTGCATCCAGTGGCAGCAGAGATACTGGCAGCGGAAGCTGGGCAAAGTGAGCCACCACCATGGGGATTGCCAGGAAGCCATGTCTGGGTGCTGTGCCACCCTTGCCCCTGCCCCACTGTGTGCCTGGGGGTGGTGGGACCAGCTGCATCCACAATGGCTTAGGCTGGCCACCATGCCCAAGTTGGGTGGGGCTGAGGGACCCACCATGGGCTGGATAGAATCCCTTGGTGGGCCAGATCTAGCCCACAGGCCATATTGTGCCCATCCCTGGATTAAAGGAACGTTGGATCTTTTCCAGCCTAGTAAGAAACTGAATACTGGTACAGATCGATAACTGAACCTTTAGTTTATTCCAGTATGTTGATCAAAGTGCACCCAGAATAAGACTACTTAATGTTATCTTAAGGGAGGTGGCCTTGGAGCCCAGAGCTTGTGTTGGCTCTGGCCAACCCACAGGCCTTGCTTTTGTCATTCAACACAGTAAGCACCAACTACTGCAATTTACAAGTTTCATAGCAAAGGAAAACCAATAAGGCTTTTCTGCTTCGAGGTGGAGCACTATATAGATCTGCCAGATACAGGGTGAATATTTAGATGAAAGGATTCATTCTTTCATCTCATAATATTGTCTCTTTATATACTCATACCTGTTCATATGGTGGAAATGACAGGTGGTGTCATTTCTTGCCCTTAACTTAGATTGTAAGCTCTGTCAGGCAGGGACAATCTTGTTTGGTCTGTATAGTACCCAGTACCTGCTTCAAGCCTGGGTCTCCAAGATGTTATAGTCATACAAATAATAAATAATAAGAAGCCATTCAAGACTGAATAATGCTCCCAGGTGAAGACAGCAGCAAATTTACTGTTGAATGCAACTCATTCACCTGTTCTCCATACTATGTGGAGAGTCCACTTGGTTCATGTCAGCCGCTTGATGGCCTCGATCCATTGTGCTCGCTCTGCTTTGGAACTGGCTTTGAAGTAGTAATGAATGTCATTCTTGGTGATTATTTTGAAGAGGTTGCCTTGCACATTCCCTTTCACTCCTGCACAGAAAGCAAGCAATGTGAGTGGAGAATACATGGAGAACCAGTTTGCAGCAGGTGTGAATTTTTGTTCAGGGAGGAAAATAAGTGTACTAACTAAAAGCTAGATCTTTCTGTGAAATTTTGCTGTGAGACTTTGGATCAGTCATTTAATCCCTCTGTGCCTCAGTCTCACTGGGCACATCTACATGTTCCCTGACTGAGCAGTTGGTATTGCAGTCATTGAGTACTTGCTTTAGAAAGTATTAAATGACTGTGCAGTACCAGCGAGTACTGCAGTCCCAGTGAGGCCTGGGTTGTTTTCAACCCTACTGCACAGTAGCAACAAGCTACTGCACAGCAGCTCATTGCTACTGCGCAGCAACAGCAGCATCACGGTGCCTGCTCATGCTACGTCACCCTAGCTCATCACTACAGCAACCTAACAATCTCGTGTAGACACACCCTCTGCCTGTAAAATGGGGATAGTAAAAAAAAAACAAAACAGACCAACCTGGCAAAGGTAGGACTAACTAGTTAATGTTACATGCTAACTGCATGCTAAATATTTTCATTGAGGTCAGATATGGTGAAAACTCCACGACAGATTAGATTTGAGCTTCTGCTCATCTTCAAGTCCCATTTTCATGGGATTATAGTTCCTTCCTCCACAGCCCATCACAGCTTTCATTTTTAGGATCTCTCTTATTGGGTAGTTTTTTAGTTAGGAAGGAAGAGGAATCACCCTTCTTGAGTATTTCACACTAGGAAGAATGCTTCCCATTCAAGATCCACATTTAGCTCTGTTCTACATACATTGTGTGCTAGTTTACTTTCATATGATAAATGGTTTTGACAGAAGAAGTGTTGAATCGCACAGCTGGGGTCCCAGACAATGTTGTTATGTTAAACAGATTGATTCTCCATAAGTGACTTTTTTCACTGTTATATTTTAAGTCCACTAGATTTGGACCTTGGAAGGTGTAGGAGAGGAAGCAGCTGAAGCAAACTGAAAAAAAAAAAAAAAAAAGCACAGGGGACAAGAAATGCGTCTAGATAGTGGTATCAGCATTACCCAGCAACAAAGAATTCCCCCCTTTACTGCTACATCTGGAATCTCAACCAGCGCCCTACTCTATTACCATTAGTCTTTCAGAACTGACTGAAAAGCCCAAAATAAGCAAATGGAAACTTGTGGTTTATACAAAAAGTAGCCCTAAAATGTTCTTAGACATGAGTCCACTGGCAGGAGACAGATGTGTCACCTTCAGTGCTCTGCTGCTTCCCCTGCTTGGCATTTGAGTCCCGGGCTGGTCTGTTTGCACCAAGTAATGGAACGTGTGAGTGAAAACAGATTCTACAATTTTAGTGCAAGTTTGTAAATACAAGTTCATGCATACCCGTTGGGACGCCATTGTCCTCCAGGGCTGAGACAAGGGAGCCACGGAGAGAAAATCCACCAACTGGCCTGTTTTCTTCCTGGGGAGAGAAAGAAGAGTTGGGCTTATTTAGAAGGTGGTAGAATTGAAATGTTCCCTGAGGCAGGTCTGTTAGTTTGTAGATGTGAAGACACAAGACCATGCTGAATACTGTGAATTAAGGCAAGACCACCCATTTCATAATAAAACTCTGCCAGGCACATTTATTCAGATGTAATTCTACCTTGTCCCTCTCAACCACAGGGGTTTTCCTTAGTATGGATACCAGAGGTAGTTGCTTAAACAGACACAGGATAACAATGATATTTGAAACCTATTCACTGTTTTACTAACAGCTAACAAAAAACCCCCCAAACTTTTCAATATAGTTTTCCCTGTTGATCCTATTTGTTCATCAATGTTTTCTCAGCTTGAACAATAAACCTTAAAATCAGCCTCGAGTCCAGGTTCCTTTTCATTATTCCAACACTCCAGCATTTGAGTTGATAGCACTGGAGGGAAATGTTTCAAATCAAACAAAAAAAATTCTCATTGAATGGGTGATCCCCATTACCCCCCACTGCCTCATGCTGCATGGGGGGCTCTGCATGAGCCCCCCAACCTCTGCCCACTTTCTCAACCCCCCATGGCTGCCCCACCCGCCCCAGCTCTGGCCCTTTAAGGAGGAAAAACCCCAAAACCCCAGGTTCACAAGTTCCTGCCCTGCAGGGGGGGGCAATCCCTGCTGCCCCCTGTTGCCTTGTGCCAAATGGGAGGCTCTTTTATGAGCCCCCCTGAAGCCCCAAGGCCACCACAAGAGCTGACGAGTCCTGGGTTTTTTTTCAGGGTTTTTCTTCTTAAAAGGAAGCTGAGGCAGCCATGGGGGGTTGGGGGAGCATGGGGGGGTTGGAGTTCTCATGGCAGAGCCCCCCCATGCAGCATGGGCCAGTGGGGGCAGCAGGGATAGCCCCCACCACCCAGCAGCACCCAGTGAGTGGGGGCTTTTTTTTAAAGCACCAGGAGCTGGGGCGGGTGGGGCAGCAATGGGGGGTGGGCTAGGGTAGCGGGCAGGGG